GTCCCAGTGCATGCGCGACCGGAAGGACGAAACAAAACAATAAACACACACACCCCCCACCCCGAAACCGCGTCCCGGTACATGCGGGACCGAAAGCGCAAATCCCCCCACCCTGAAACCGCCTCTCGGTGCCTGGAACGACGAACCGATCGTGCCGCTGGGCCGTGAAAAATCGTGCCGCTGGGCCGTGAAACAACAAATCCCCTCGCCCCGAACCGCGTCCCGATAGGTTCGTGCCGCTGGGCCCACCGCGGCCCTCCCCCCGAAGTGCCACACCAGAGAACCGGGTCTCTCGCGGGACCGTCACGCGAGACCCGGGTTTTGCTTTAGAGTATTAGGGAAAAGCATAAGCACGAATGACTACAAATTATGTAATATGTATGTTCTGGACATCGAGTCCCTATACCTATTGTACGAAGGAGAGCAGGGGCATTGATTACTTCCCTGCACAAGGGAAGGATTGACCACCTGCAAACTACTCCCTAAGCAGCGCACCTCCCTCCCACGGGGCAATCAGCACCCCCTTGTTGATTGATATTGCGGGCTGGGCAACACCAATCAGCATCGATTATCCTACTCGTATCCTCAGCCAGACAACGAGGTTGAAGGAGGGGGAAAGGGGGGGAAGATGATAACACCAATCAACATCGACTATCCTTGTCCTGGTGTTCCAGGTTGTGTAACTGTTTGTGGGTTTCCATTTCCTGTTGATTGCGCAGTCTAGTTAATTCCTTCAAGAAATCCTTACATTTTCTACCCAAGAAAAAAACTCCATTAGTAAACCATGTGATCGTTGAGTCAAACTCTTGCCTTTGAGATCGCCAATATGACCAGACATCACGGACATATGAACAGAAAGAGTAATTTCTCAGGAGGGATGTGTTTAGCGTGTAGTAGCCGGGGCCTTGGTCTGGTCTTTTTCTGAAGGTCAAGACTGCGCCGCAGGCTTTATGGTTGATGCCAGGGTGTGGGCTCTGTGGTAGAATCGCTGCCAGCCGTAAAGCACCCTGAAGGTCTTGGGACATAAGAATGAGATCAATGCGTGATTTAGACTGTCTAGCCGGGTTGCTATTGTGGACGCATGTATAGGCTTTCTCAAAGGGGTGCAGTGAGCGGTAGGAGTTGAAAAGGTCGAGGGAACCACACAGATCCGCTAAAGTATACTCGTCCTCCTCTATGTAATTGGGGTAGGTCTACTCAGGGGCCCACCTGCAAACTTGGTAACTTCTTTGGAGGCACTAAAGGGCACATTGGATGATTACCATACCCTAGCTCTGAGTTAATGTTGGGCTGATTTCATACTTTCAAGCTCAGCGAGGCACCGCCAGGACAGAGTCTTCGCCCTTTGGAGTTCCAAATTTCGCTGGGGGAAGTAGCTTCCTTCTGTTTAATTCCCACCAGTTCTAGTGGTGGCAGGGTCCCAGATGTGGTGGCTGGCGTCCGTCACGCGAGACCCGCCTTTTCAAATAAAGTCCTAGTGACGGGCCCACGCGAGACACCGCTGCTGGTGGCAGGGTCCCAGATGTGGGAGATGCGACTTCTCTAATACCTTAAAACCTTAAAGGAAAAGGCGGGTCTCGCGTGACGGGCCCACGTGAGACACCGCTGCTTGTGGCAGGGTCCCAGATGTGGGAGATGCGACTTCTCTAATACCTTAAATAAAGGAAAAGGCGGGTCTCGCGTGACGGGCCCACGTGAGACACCGCTGCTGGTGGCAGGGTCCCAGGTCCTACGTGAGTATACCCATATGATCATCACCCATTCTAGTGATCTTTGACCAGACAGCGGGTATAGACATCAGAGCTAAGCAAGCTATCACCTCCCTCCCCATCCCCGATTGAAGCACTATCGAACGAGCCACGTTGCACCGGGCACTCCGACTGCTAGGGGTGAGCATGCCACTACACGCCCCATAGGCGAACCCTAGTTTTTCCTGATTTTAAGAATCCTAGCCTTATCATCATCAGATCCCTCTGGTTATTCTTTGAATTTTTGCGGAGGTTATTCGAACCTAGAGCATGTCCAGTTTCCGTCCTCAGTAGGCTTACAGCCGCCATCCGCTCCCCATACCTCTATCATCAACTGGATGTCTAGGCATTCTGTTAGCATCCCCCAGAGTAACTCCAGTTTCTGTCCTCACCAGGTTCACGGCCACCATCTGCTCCCCCAACCTCTATTATCAACGGGAGCTACTCTGGGCTATTCTAATCTGACAGTATTCGGGACATCCGTTAAAATTGGAACGATACAGAGAAGGGTAATTAGCAAAATGGCCCCTGCGCTTTCAAGGATGACACGCATAAATCGAGAAATCCGACAGCTCATCCCAGATATCCTCAATCCTCAGAATGCCTTTTTCTATCCATGCTCTACCAAAGCTTTCTTTACCTGCCGTCGCCGTAAAACTTCTGCCATCCGAGGTAGTCAAACGCAGATTGGGCAGAGTACGGTATGTGGACAGGAGACTTCAGGAAGTGCTTGCAGCCATCCCATCAGAATGGAAGGATCTGTTGAGCAGGAGGCTCCCAGGGCRGGGTAAATGGTTTGTGCCAACGCTACAGATGGGGCTCCATGAGCCAGAGTATTTCAAAGACCTAGAGGATGGGAAAGTRGAGGTGTGGGGACTGAAGGATCAAAATGACRCAGGCAGGTTGGTTTTCAAAGAGACAAGGGATATCGACGTGGCATCATTGGTGGAGGAAGTGMGGGTGTCGATTCAGTTTGTGATACCGGGRGTGGTTGCACCAGTTTTGTYCTATGATGGAACCCCAATCAGAAGGCTGAAGATAGACACAGAAGTATATGGCTGGCCAAAAGCAAGGAAAAGACCARCAATGCWTAATTACACTTCCAAGCTTGGCATGGCTCTGCTCCGCGCACAAGGGAGCMCCACTCAGAAGATTCAGGAAGCGTACCCGACARCCCCGAATGGTGAACCACTCTCGAAGGAATTCTACACAGAAACCTGGKACTACTGCCGACGGCTMCCGTGYTCCAAAGCGGCCGCAGTGGTATGGTTGTTGACTCACAGGGCCCCCTTGGACGCAGTTAGCCTGTTCAYGAGAGGTATGAATGTGGAAGTCCAATGTCCCAGGTGTCACCGTAGCCCGGAAGACTCAATGCACCTATGGGGCACTTGCCCCTTGTCTCACCRGATCTGGCGTTGGTGGGAATTGCACTGGAAAGGGATGGGAGGCCCCGCGGATCTGGRATGGGACCTAGGTTGGGCCCTCACAGGTAAACTCCCACCCACCCTTTCGCCCCGTAAGGGATGGGGCTATGTGGCAGTGGCACTGAGGGCAGTGGCCATTTGGTGGATTTGGAAAGAAAGAAATTCTGTTTTGTACCAAAAAAGGTACTTTTCAGATGATACTTTGAAACAGGGGATGAAATCAATGGTGAGAAGGATGATCATCGTGGATTGGAACAGAAAGGTGTTRAATACGTCAGGCCSGGCTAGAGCTCGGGCAAGACTGTGGTTCCTTCGTGCATGGGCAAAACGCAACAGACTGGCAGCAGTTTCAGCTGCAAGCGGGAAACTGGTTCTTTCAGATTGGTTGTCTAAGGTTTGATACAGTGTCCCAAAATAGATGGGTATAAGGGGGGCGATGCAGTACTTGGTCACTCAGTACGGCAAGGCTCGCGTAAGAAACAGCTTCAGCCCTCAGGATCCATATTAGGATCCATCTGGTAGGGTATACATAGAGTGGTCGTCCGAGTCCAGGAGAGCGTAGGGTTCTATAAGTGCATGAGTTACACAGGTGAAAACAGGTTGCAGGGAAACCAGCCCATTGACTGTAAGCGAAACCGGCTGATGCTGCCGGGATAACTCCGGGTTGAATTGTGAGGTCCCCGGCCTCTTTTGATTTCGGAAATATAGTAAAGACTTTATTAAAAAAAAAAAAAAAAAAAAAAAAGAAATCCGACAGCAGCAGCGCTGTGTGTCAGTGTTCGACGATGTATTGTCCGTCACATGGTGTTCGGTAACGTCATCCCTCGCCTACCGGTAGGGGTCGACCTCCCGGGTCAGCAGCCGTAACGGGAGACGGTATTGGGCCATCATACGAGTTCCTGCGCGGTCACGATTTTTTGCGACTTTCTCTCTTCTTGCCGCCATGGAGAAATACCAGATTATTCGCCGTTTGGGAGAGGGTGCCCAAGGTCGAGTCTACCTGGCAAAGGAGAAGAGGCGGGCTCAGTCAGCGTCTGTGTCCCGCTCTACGGCCGTGATGGACAAGAGGAGCGAAGAAGAGAAGGCACCTCTGAGGAGGCAGAGATGGGTTCTGAAAGTTGTGAGCCTTCCGTCCGCCCAGAAGGAGCGTGATTTGTGCTTCATSGAAGCCTCCACGTTAATGGCTCTATCTCATCCGTACATCACGAGTTGCAAGGAGAGCTTTGYCATTGATGGAAACTGGCTCTGCATTGTTATGGAGCATTGCAGAGGAGGAGACCTACGGACAAGGATAAATAAAAGAAAAGAGCAGAGCCTGAGGTTCKYAGAGGAACAAATTATCGATTGGCTCGCACAAATCGCGCTGGCTCTGGAATACTTGCATGACAACAAGATCATTCACAGGGACCTCAAGTCAGAGAACATCCTCCTCTGCACTCCAAGGCGTACCACATTTTCTCAGGAAGAGCACCCACATCTAAAGCTTGGGGATTTTGGCATAGCACGCGTCCTGGAGTCAACACATGCTTGTGCCCAAACTTTTGTGGGAACTCCATTTTATATGTCACCTGAGCTCTATCTCGGGGAACCTTATGACCAGAAATCAGACATATGGGCTTTAGGATGCATTTTGTACGAGATGATATGTCTGAAGCATCCTTTCTCAGGTGGGAGTGTGAGAGAGCTAGCTGTACACGTCACGCAGGAAACCTGTGACATCCCACTTGATTTGTACAGCAGTGAACTTACAACACTCCTCAGTGAAATGTTGGATAAGGTGCCCCAAAAGCGACCAGCCGCTCGCTGTATTGCCACTCATCCATTGATCAGGGACAGGGCTGCATATTTCCTCTCCCAGTACAAACATACAAGTTCTRAAACGTCTGTCATGGAAGCCAGCGTGATCTTTCAGAGTTCTTGCCTAGCTGCAATCAATCGGACGATCAGAGAGCAAGCCATACGGCTGGGTTTGGACCTGRCCATCGTTTCACAGACAATCGCCCGGAGCAGAAATCTGGAGCTATGTCCAACTCGCACATCTGCGGAGATATCATGCACAGTAGAAAGTGTATCGATGTCTKCTTCAATGAAATCGCGTGTGGTTCGGCCGCACGAGGCAGAAGAAGCTGGTTTCCAATCTTCAAGGATTTCTTCCCGAGATAAGACCTGCTCGTCGTGGGATGGGCACATTGGAGGAACGATAGTGGGTGCAGCGCATGCGACTGCTTTTGACAGAGCCGTGAGCGACGTAACCAATGCAGCTGAAGACTGTCCTTCGCCTGAAGTCTACGACATCAAGAGGATSAACAAGAAGTCAGACGAAAAGGGGAGAAGAAGAGACGCAGGCGAGATAATACAGCAAGTGGAGACATTGGAGAAGGTCTTTGGAGGGTACAACTACTACAACGTCGATGCCTCACCCGATACGGAAGACACGAGTTCCGAGGTATCCTCGGATGCGAACGATACGACACTGGACAAGGCGACTGGGTCGATCCAGCAGAAGGCGAAGGGGCATCAACTGTGCGGTGTTGCAGGCTCAGGCCGTCTTATTCGGGTCCGTGGCACCCTGGGGAAGGCAGGACTGAGCTTCATGCAGTACGCACGTAAGAATAGGGCTGGAGCGCAGAAGGTAGGAGGGAGGCCTTGTCCGCAGTCAGCCTCCACATGTGGCATCTCGGCCATCTGGCCGATGTATAACCGTTACAGACGGCTGAGCTTCGGCGGGCTCTTTCCAAGACTCAGGTGGTCGAATGGGAGCCTGCGCCGGACTCCAAAAGAGCAAGCCATCAAAGCGACCAATCAACCGATTATCGGCGGTGGAGCTATGCCTCCTGTCTTGCCATCGAACGGGGGTAGACAAAGATGGGAGGGCGGAAGCTCTGCAACACATTCACTCGTGAAAATCCAGGAGACGGAAAAAGCAGACGACGCGGAAGTCGTGGCGGGTGCGATGAGGACCATGGCACCGGCGCAACTAGTTCTGAACGGCCTGAGGGAAATGAAGGTGACACCGGGGCCCTCGGCTCCTGGAAAACGGGTTGCAAGAATGGGACCACATGGCGAGCAGAGGTCGCCGTTTGCAGCGAAAGACAACGGACGAATAACAAGGAAATCATCAGCAGCTAGCGATGAGCTGAGAGCGCTAGTTGTCCGCTGCCAGCAAGCTCTAACGGAGGGGCGCATTTCCAAGGCGTCCATCAAAGCGCCAAAGTCACGGATCAGCTTTTCTCAGCCTTCCTCGTTGCCATCCGAGCGCCACTCAAGCCGTTCCGAAACGAAAACACCGATAAAGCCAATGGAGAACATCGGCAGCTCAATAGCTCTTCCGGGGGTGCAGTCGCGCTCACCATCAGAACGCGAGGCGCATCAGGGGTCACCGCTACATCAGAGCGATCGCCGCTTCAACAGAGTAACTGGAGCGGATGAGGTCGGAGGACAAAGGTGTGTTTGTCATCAAGACCTTGGTTCGAGAATGGGCGTCGAGGTTGGAACGACTCCGTCGTTGCAATCAAGTGCGAAAACCTCCGCCATGACCGGTGCGGGTGAGAGGGTCGTAAGCACAGGCAACGTCCTTCGTCGGCGACGTAGCAAAGAAGCATTGCAGACACCCTCGAAGCTCCCGGGACTATGGTCCCCACGCAAAGGCATCGTGCGAAAACCTCTCCATGAAATTCATGCCGAGGCACGAGAACGTCAATGCAAGCTTCGTGGCAAACGTGGCTGAAGGAGGACAGGTTTACCGTCGCGTTTTGTCGCCGGCTATGACAATGCGTATCAGCCAATTGAATTGGTACTCCCCGGCACTAGGCGTCCATTTCAAATCATATTGACGAGCACTCCGACCAATTGAAAGAGCGCAGGTGCCGAAGAGTGTGAAGACGTCTAGGGAGCAAATGGCTACGTGGCGCAAGAAATGATGGTGCAGGGAAGAGGACACTGTGTAAGACGTTAGGAGAGTTTGAAATGTGGCACAGTGACTGCTATCCGGATAACCTAGTGTTCAAACGAGCCGATGCGGCCTACGAAGTATAGGCAATCTAAGGGTGTAGGATGGTGGCAAGAGCGCGGTACCGAATAAGCGTAGTGTGCGAACACCAGAAGAGCGATATGATTGAAGGTTTAAAAAAAAAAAAAAAAAAAAAAAAAAAAAAAAAAAAAAAAAAAAGAGAAATCCGACAGTATTCTCAATGCAGGTAACAGACCAACCTTCACCTCCTAAGACAGCCTCTAATGCAGGTTCCCCGACGATATCCTCCACCAGGGCCTATCCCAGCTCTATGTCAACCCAGAGGACCCCTAAGACATCCACTACCACAGGGGCTCCAACCCTCCAGTAGGGATAGTGTCCAACCGACCCTGCCCCCAGCGGAGTCCCCGATCAATCCCACCTAGAAACCACGCCCCCCCAAAGCTGAGCCCTAAGGTAACCAATACCACGTGATCAACCGCCCACAACCCTAGTCTGCATCCC